GAGGAGGAAACGTGGCGGTTATTCTGTAACAGTGAGATGGAATGAGCGCGTTCATCGCCCAGTCGCGGAGAGAGCCCCATGTTGCCCGTCTTTAACTCCTGCTCTCCCCGTCTCTTTCTAGGTGATGACAATTACGGGCGGAAGGTGATCATCATCAGCGCCTGTCGTTTGCCTCCGAGTCACCAGTTGAACCACGCAGCGCTGCTCCAGTGAGTCAGTCCTCCCAATAGCGCTGTGAGAGACACAGCCCAGATCCTCGTGGGCCTTCTCCCATCGGCATAACAATACACAGTCACTCCACTTTACAGTGTGAAGCGCTTTGAGACCTCTCGAAGACGTGATGAGGCGCTGTATCAAATGCGAGGATTATTATTATAACCTGCGAGCCAAGGCCCAGGGGTTGAATTGAGATAAGAGCGTTTTTTAGCGCCTGTCACTGGGTCCCTACAACAATGCTTCTCGTGCTGCTGTGACTGTTTATGGTCACTTTGCCCCAGTTTTACGTCTCTGCTGTAAGCCCTCAGGAACCCCTGAGGGCTCCCTGACTGACTGACTGACTGACTGACTAGACACACTCCTGGGTCCCTCACTGTCAATGAGGTCATTGCCTGGGGACCTGAGCTGGGGGGGAAGGGAGTAGAGGGAGGGGGTGAGGAAGGGAGGGAGAGAAGGACTGCATCCACAGTGTGTGTCAGCGGAGGGAAGATTGATGTGGGAAAGGTGGGAGTGAGGCCGCTGTTCCTGGGCTGTGGAGTGTGCAGTTGTGCTTCTTTTCCACCTGAATGGTTTGCAATGTGAGTGTAACCTTGGTACTCGCCAAACTTGTGATCTGTCCTGACCTCGTTCTCTCTCTCTCTCCACCCCACCCCACCCCGTAACCAGGTACCTGAAGTACACACTGGACAAGTATGTGGAGAGCGACTATTCTGTGGTTTACCTTCACTACGGCCTAAACAGTGAGAACAAGCCCTCCTTTACCTGGCTTCGGGATGCCTACAGGGAGTTTGATAGGAAGTGAGTGCAACCGCCTCTCCCATTCCCCCACACTGCAGCTCACACCCATCACTCACACTACAGTCACAGCTCACACCCACACCCACATACACTACAGTCACAGCTCACACCCACTACAGTCACACCCACACACACACACACACTACAGTCACAGCTCACAAAGAGAAGGGAGTTTCTCCCGGTGTACAGTCGGTGCAGTGAGTCTGCCTGTCTGCCTGGCTCTGTTGCTGGTGTGGTTTTTGAGGCTGATCACCATGGGGACCTGTTGCCGTGGTTCTTCTCATGCAGCTCCACCGCCTCGGTTTGTGCCTCCGTTCCATGTCAAGACGCCCTGGTGATCGCCATGGCACAGGTCACTCGGGATACAGAGCGAACCCAGTGTGGTTCACAGCCCACACACACAGCCGTGTCAGACAGATATCTGTACAGGGTGTTCACAAAGTCCTGTTGCTCCCCCTCTCCCCCTCTCCCCCCACCCCACTCCCTGTCCCTCCCTCTACAGCGCACTGACCAACAGCTGAAAAATGTGGAAAAATGATAGTAATTATATTTTGAAGCACTTCATTGTGTTCAGCTACAAGTGTTTAATTATATTTAGACGTCCAGACGATCTGTGAGTGAGTGTGTGTGAATGTGTGTGTGGTGTGAGTGTGTATGTCCGTGTGTCTGTCTGAGTGTGTGTGAGTGGGAATGTGTGTGTCTGTGAGTGTGTGTGAGTGTTAGTGTGTTAGTGTGTGAGTGTGTGTGAGTGTTAGTGTGTGAGCGCCATCATTTTCACGGCAGATAATAATCCATCACCATATTCGGGGCCAGATCTTCTGTAACACGGATGGAGTCAGTGAGGAGGAGGTTACCGGTGTCAGCCATGACATTGTCACACTCGACTCAAACCAAGAAAAAATAAAAATTTATTGTAAGAAAAAAAACACGGGGGGTGGGGGGGGGGTGGAGGGGGGGGGGGTGTGGTAACAGGACTTTGTGAACACACTGTATAGATATCTGACTGACACAGCTGTGCGTGTGGGCTGTGAATCACACTGCCCTGAATCAGCAGTGACTTGTGCCCTGGGTATCACCAGGGCTGCTGTGCTGCCCGCAGTGGGGATGGCACCTCCCCTCACAGCTGCAGAGATTGCGGGCGGCTGATAATAGAATGGAACAGGGTATCAACAACAACAACAACTTATGTTTGTATAGCACATGGGAGGACACAGCAGCTTTCAGAAGGTATCTCCCTCTCCCTCTCTTGAGTCGCGCTCTCCCTTTCTAAGTCTCTCTCTCTCTCTCTCACAGAGTCTCTCTCTCTGAGTCTCTCTTTCTGAATCTCTCTCTCTGAGTCTCTCTCTCTGAGTCTCTATCGCTCTGATTCTCTCTCTCCGAGTCTCTGTGTCTGAGTCTTTCTCTTTCTGAATCTCTCTCTCTGAGTCTCTCTCTCTCTGAGTCTCTCTCTCTCTTGAGTCTCTCTCGCCTGATGATTATTGTTTGAGAATCCTGTGTCTACGAGAGCCGCTTGTTGGCTCGGTGCCTGATCTCTAGGTAGGTTCAGGCTCCCAGCTGTGACGGAGCCAGAATGACCGACTGTGCCCGGGTTTCGATTCTTTAGTTGTTCATGTTTATGGGGGAAACTGGCTGCAGTCTGTCAGCCGTGAGGGGCTGAAAGGTTCATACAAACGTGAGTGATAAATCAGTAACAGGCCAGTGGTACCCACCTGATCTTTCACTCTCTACCCTCCGCAGGTACAAGAAGAACATCAAAGCTCTGTACATCGTCCACCCGACCAAGTTCATCAAAACCATCCTGGTTCTCTTCAAACCCCTCATCAGGTAACTGCGCGTTCCCTCACTCACTCACTGCAGCCCACTGAGCAACTGAGTTTCTTGCCCCCCCCCCCCCCCCCGAAACTTCGGCCCATCCCCTCCCCATGTCTCAGCCTCGTACAAGGTAGAACGCATGTTGAACGGGTGTTGAATTTCCCTGGTGAGAGGGGCTGCGATTGGGATGGGGGAGGAGATGCTGCTCCATGTGGGGGTTCAGGAGGGAGTCAGCCCTGTTGACTAATGTGCTTGTTTGCTCTCTCTCGCTCCAGCATGAAGTTCGGACAGAAGATCTCTTACATGAATTACCTGGGGGAGCTTCAGGAGCACCTGAAGTGTGAGCAGCTGCTGATCCCGGAATGTGTGAAGGCGTAGGTGATGCTGATCTGAGGCTGCGTTTGTGTCGGAGGCTGAATGGCCTGCTCTCTTCTAACCTTCCCCCCCCCCACTACGCTCTCCCGCTCTCTCCCCCACCCCCCACCACGCTCTCCTGCTCGCTCCCCCACCGCAGCCTCACACATCCCTATCACTCACAGCTGTGATTTGTGGAGTCCTGTAGCTCAGTGGTTAGAGCACTCGCCTCTCAAGCGAGAGAACCTGGGTTCGATTCCCAGGTAGGTCTCCTTACTCCGCACGCCTCTGTTTACCTGGCACTACGCAGGAACCCGGTTGGTAGTCGATTGGCGGATCGCTTTTCCTGGGATAATAATCCCTTCAAAAGAATAAACAAATCAATAATAATTTGGTCACTTCAATCCGCGACTGTTTGTGGGGACACTGCTGTGCACAATTGGCTGCTGCGTTTCGCCCACAAAACGCCCAATCAATCCCCTTTGATCCTGTGAAGCGCTTTGAGACGTCTCAGCGACTTGATGAGGCGCTGTATCAAATGCGAGGATTCTTCTTATTATTATCTGATGGCTTCAGTTATGAGGCTGGTGACTCCGTTAGAGCTGCCGGGCGGTGTGGTCACCCTGACTGACACGCTCTCAGCCTCGCTGGTTTGTGCAGCTGATTCACTCTTTCCCATTGCTGCCCTCTGTCTCAGGTATGACCAGAGCCTTCAAGCCGCTCGCAAGCTCCCACAGACCATACCTGTCAAGGTCTCTCCACACCAGCTGTTTGGCATCCCACTGGCAGTGTAAGTCTGCGCCAAATCTCACACTGATTCTCTCAGCCTAGCAATCGCTTTATCGGATTAACTTTTCAGCAGAGATCCACATTCTCACTACCCTACACAAGAAGAAGTTCCTAAACCTCTTCTTAGACCTACCGCTGGTGACCTTATATTCGTGTCCTCCCGTTATGGACTCGCAAATAAGAGAATAAACCCCTCAAAAATAAAATTGGTCACGACTTTGTGGGACGCTGCTGTGTGCAATTGGCTGCCCTGCTTCACCCGCAAAATACCCGATCAATTCACTTTACAGTGTATCCTGTGAAGCACTTTGAAACATCTCGAACACGTGAGAAGGCGCTGTGTTAAATGCAAGGATTATTATTTTATTATTAAGCGAAAACAGCCCATCAGCATCTCTCTGATTGAATCTTTTCATAATCTTAAAAAGTGAGGAGATCCGAGGGTGGGAGTTTCACTCACCCGGAGAGAGTGTGTGTAACGGCCTTTACTGAGGGCGGTAGGAACCTTATACTGAACCTGCGTTAAGTGTTCCACTTCTTCCTCCACTTTCAGGCTTCAGACAAGAAACCCAGAGCAGTCACCTTACCCTCTGGTGATGACGGAGACTGTGGCCTACCTGCGAGTGAGAGGTGAGTGAAACTGCCGTTAGGGAGGAAGCCCCACATCATCTCACACCCAGGGTTTGCGAACATGGTGTCTCTCTCCTTCCCCGACTCAAACATCCTCTGAAGACTGAGCTGGTGCTGAGAGTCAGTGCTGCGAGTCTCCTCGTTCTGCACTGTGACCAGCTCTCCCCTCTCTTTCTCTCTCTCACCTCCACAGGTTTAAACAAAGAGGGCATCTTCCGCAGGTCGGCTAACATGTACGTCGTGAAGGAGGTCGTGGAGAAATACAATAACGGTGAGTCTTTCTGTGCTACTGTTACCACAGTCTGACACTCTCCCCTCACACTGGGTCCTACAGTCCGGGTAACTGTTCCCTGGACGAGGATAGATAGATAGGGCTTCACTGCCTGGTTTGTTTAGTAAAAAGTCGTGGTTCGCACTAACTGGCGTTGCGATCCTCACAGCATTCCCTCTGCATTCTGAGTGTTCGTAGAATCGTAACCTGTTACAATTGTCTATATTTGTTGTGGATGTTCAGGAGCTGCTCTCAGTGAGTAGATCCTCGCACAGATCCAGTTGTTACTACAACAAAAACAAAATTACGTTTACACAGCGCCTTTCACATCGGGAGGACGTCCCAAGGCGCTGGACAATCAATATTTCAAACCCGAGCTGGGGGTCGGGATCAGGGAGGGTGACCGAAGGCTGTGTGATGAAGAAACCAGTGGAGTCGGGCGAGGATGGGGGTGATAGGGTCATGGATCCTAGTGCGGGAGAGGACACGGGCTGCAGAGTTCTGGATGATCTGCAGCCTAAGGAGGGAGGAGTTGGGGAGGCCGACACGCAGGGAGTATGTGTAGTTGAACCTGGATGTGTGTATGAGGGTCTCGGCGACCTGCAGTGTTAGAAGGTGGATGTTGCGGAGGTGGGGGAAGGCATAGCGGGTCAAAGCATGAATGTGGGATAGAAAGGACAGTTGAGGGTCAAACAAATCGCCAAAGTTCTGGACTGGCTCAGTGAGGTGGAGTCTGCGACCGATCAGGAGAGACTCGGTCTTGTTGACGTTCAACTGAAAAAAGTTAACTCTCATCCAGGACTTGGTGTCTGACAGATAATCTGTGTTTACTGCTCTGCACGACCACCTGTTGCCGCAGGGATCTAACCTGCACTGCTTTGCTCCGGGTAGGGATCCGCGTGGATTACGAGCAGTACGGAGACGTGCATCTGGCCGCCGTCATCCTGAAGACCTTCCTGCGGGAGCTGCCCTCGCCCCTGCTCTCCTTCAAGCTCTACGACAGTGTGGTGGCGTTTCAATGTAAGTCACCCAACCGCTGTCACCCCACCCCAGTAGGTCTCACACAGTCACAGCTCACAGCACAGCACAAGAGGGAGTGTGGCCCCACGTCTCTCTAGTTGCTCGCTCTCCTCCGACTACAACCCCCGTCCTCTGCTCTTACCCCAAATCTCTTCATAGGATTTTTCCGATTCCCTTTCAACACTTGGAAATGGTTTTTCCTGCAACGATCGCTGGGAAAGTGCAAGTTATTGGTTATGGTTGGGGCCGCTTCACTCTTTAATACATTCTAACAATCTTAAGTGTCCGCCCGCCTCCGTTCTTTAACTCAACGCTCACACCTTTTATTCCCGACTTCCTGTTAAGTATTGTAAGATCTCTCTGGGAAACTTTGCAGGGAACGTTTGCTTCACATATTGGGCAATAGTTTCGGAAACTTGTCTATACACGTTACCTAAACCCGTTTGTATGTCTGGACTAACTCTCTGTTCGCACTAAGATACTGTCTCTAACTTAGTGACAAACTTCCTCCTTTTGGTTCAAAGACTAGAAATGGGAAACTGAGTTCTGTTTCACATCTCCTCTCACTTTGTCACTCTTACTTGTTCACTTATCACAGTTACTCGCCTCTCATTTGTTCTCGCTCTCTCTCTCTTGCTCACGTTTTCTCTCACACACACACACACACCCTAGTTGAAGAGCTGAGATGTTCGACAGCTTCTGTAAGCTGTGCTTTGCCAACCTCCACTGGAGCTCGTGTTAATGATTTTAATGAATTCCAGCAGCAAATCAATCAGCCATCACTTGTTGGTGAAGCAGCTCATGGAGGAGTCCGTGTGGGTGCTAACACACTGGAGAGTGGGCGTCAGCAAGTGTCAAAGCCTGGATGAGTGCACACCTCCACCTTCATTAATCTGTTGTCATGGTGTATAAGAGTGTGATTCACTCACTGGAGTTTTCAATGTTATTTTTTCCCCAAACTCACACACACACACAAAGTTGACAAGAATTGTATTTGTTCACAAAAGGCGCAGTCAATTCATAGAATCATAGAATTGTACAGCACAAAAAGAGGCCATTCGGCCCATCGAGTCTGTGCTGGCTCTTTGAAAAGAGCAATGTAATGTCAATCCCACTCCCCAGCCCTTTCCCCATAAACCTGCAGAGTCGTCCTCCTCAAATACCCGTCCACCGCATTTTTGAAAGTAGTTATCGAATCGGCCTCCACCACCGTTTCAGGCAATGTGTTCCAGATTCGAACAACTCGCTGCTTCTTTTAGAGACTATTTTGAATCAGTGACCTCCAGTCACCGACACACCCACCAGTGGAAACAGTTTTTCCCTTTCTAACCTCTCAAATCCCCTCATGATTTTGAAGACCTCTATCAGGTCCTCGTAACCTTCTCTGCTCCAATGAGAATAATCCCGGCCTCTCCGGCCTTTCTCATCACGGTCCCTCATTCCTGGTCCCATCCTCGTAAATCTCCTCTGCACCCTTTCCAATGCCTTCACATCCTTCCTATAGTGTGGGGCCCAGAACTGGGCGCAGTATTCTAACTGAGGCCTAACCAGTGTTTTATATGGGTTAATCATAACCTCTTGACTCTTGTACTCTATGCCCCTATTTATAAAGCCTGGTATCCCATATGCTCTTTTTACCGCTTTATCTACCTGTCCTGCCACCTTCAAGGATTTACTTACCTGCCCCCCCAGGTCTCTCTGTTCTGTCAGCCCCCTTAATTACCGCCTATATTACCTCCCCTCATTCTTTCTACCAAAATGTATTACCTCTCATTTATCCACATTGAAACTCCTCTGCCGTGTGTCGCCCATTTTATCATTCTCTCTATGTCTTCCTGCAGTTGGCTCCTATCCTTCTCACTGGTTACCCCCTCCTTAACTTTGTGTCGTCCGCAAACTTGGAAATGGTACTTGCTGTACCCAAGGCCATTCACTTTACAATCCATTCTGTGAAGCGCGCTGAGACGTCTCAACGACGTGTTAAGGCATTATAATGAATGCAATTTTTATTATTGTTGAATGGAGGAATTTTTGATGGATCCACAGCCTTTTGGGAGAGGGAGAGTTCCAGATTTCTATTAGGCTTTGAGTGAAAATCACAAAAGGGGACATGGACACTGAAGGAACGGACGAAGAGGAGGGTTTTGAGACCGGTCTTGAAGGAGGCAATGCAGGGGGTAAGGTGGCGGGACTGTGGGATGGAGTTCCAGAGGGTGGGGGCTGAGAGGCTGAAGGCCCTCCCCATAATGGTGAGGCGGGCGAGGCAGGGGATGTGAAGCCGGCCGGGGAAGCGGACAGATTGGTAGGGGGATAGGAGGTCACAGAGATAGGGAGGAGCGAGACCGTGGAGGGCTTTGAAAGTGAGAACCACTAATAACATTCCCGGGTCGGGTTTCTGGTCCCCAGTGGCAGTCAGGGTCCTCCTTCCTCCCTGTCCCCAAGTTACAGGGAAGGGTTAGTACAGTAAATCTCATCTGTCTTGTAAGTTGGGACTATAAATATGACTTATGCAAAGGATGAGTTATGTCACTTACATAAACTTGTGTGTGAGTCGGATTTTATGTGACTAATATAAAACACCACAACAAATTATATTTGTACAGCGCCTTTCACATCAGGAGGATGTCCCAAGGCGCTCGACAGTCAGGCATTTGGGCCCGAGCTGGGGGTTGGGATAAGGGGAATGAAGGGTACGGTTAGGGAAGGAGAGTGGCCAAAGACTTGTTGAAGAGGAGGGTCTTGAGACGTCAAGACGTGCCTTGAACTGGCATTCCCCGCCCCCTCGCTCACCATGTGATCAGGTCACACTCTTAGCGTTTGCCCCCCACTTCCACCCCACCCACCCCCCCCCCAGCGTTTGTGAGACTAACTCCTTGTGTACGTTTCTCTCAGGTGTGAAAGAAGAGGAACAAATTGAGACCCAGCGAAGCATGATTCAGTCTCTGCCTGAAAATAACTACATTGTGCTCCAATACCTGGTCAGATTCCTGGGCGAGGTATGTACACGTGTTCACCCATTAGAATCATAAGCACAGAATGAGGCCATTCGGGCTTCTGAGCTGCTGCCCCACAGATCAGGTAAGTTTATTCTGCATCCAGAGTAACGCAGGAGGCCTGCGGGTCTAAGTAGGCCTGCGGGTCTCATGCCCATATTTCCCTGCAAAGCACTGTCCCTTAGTGGGGAGCGGAGGGCAGATGTTTTCCCACGAAGGACAAGGGAAACGTAAGCAATTTGACAGTAATTCACTGGGGATCCACACTGACAGGCCCAGGCACACCCGGCCTCTGGGGCGTGATACTTGGGGTGAGGTGGGGAGGTCGGAGGGTGGACAAGGGGAGGACAAATGAGCAAAAGCCCTTCACAAGACCTTGTTGTGGTTCTCTTGCGTTGCCAGGTTGCTGCCCAGAGTTCAGAGAACAAAATGACGGCCTCAAATCTCGCCGTGGTGCTCGGGCCAACCCTCCTGTGGGCGAAGGACTCCGCCATTTCACTGAGCGCCATCAATCCCATCAATTACTTCACTCAAGTGCTCTTTGAAAATCATGAGCAAATCTTCCCAGAGTAAGAGGGGCTCCTCAGCTTTGGGTCTGAACCCCCATTGCTGGAGTCAGTCGAGTCGGTCACTCTCTATACTTGTAAGCTACCGGCCCTTCAGCTGAAGACTTTCACAGTGCGAGCAGCAGCGACTGCCAAATGAGAGGTTGGATCCATTTTGTGAGGGGTGGGTTTCCTTGCGTTTTACACTACTTCGTGCACGCAGAACAGGTACACACACGTACGTGCAACAGGGACGAGTTAAAATTACCGCGAGTCTGGGGCTGGATACCCGGCTCTTTTTAATTTGCCTTGGAGTAAGACGTTGGGGTCTCGTTTGGTGTGCATGTGTTTCGCTCTTAAACCTTCCCTTTTATGTTCTATTATCTCACACTCATTGGGAAAGATTAGTTATTCTTTTGATATAAAAATAATCATAGTAAATAGGCTGGGAGAGTTTACCTACAGGAAATGCCGAGAAACTGAATCATTTTCCAATCATATGTTTTTCATTTAGCTTCTGGAAGAAATGGTAAACTGTTTGTCATTCCTAAGTGTGGGTTTAGGGGAAGCAAAGATATATTGTGCTGTAAATGTAAAATATTCATTCACTGCTTTGGTTGAAAATTGATCATAAAAATGTGCCAATTGTGTGAGTGACTTCACTGCACCAAATCTTTCTTAATGTTTGATCTTGTATCTGTTCCTATAAATCATGTTGGTTCGTGCCAATAGAAAGTGAAACTTCCTTGGTTATAGGTAGTCAGGGAAGTTTGATTTGATGTGGGTTCAATTTCCTACAGAAATAGAAATGTTGAATTTTATATCGTCTCCAAATAATGCCTCTGTTTTATCTGCATGTTTTAAATATTGAAGAATGTTATATTACCTGGTTTCTAGTTTGTTTGTAACTTTGAGACACATCAGTGCTTTGTGGAAGAAAGGGAGCCAGAGCTTCCTCTCTCACAGGAACAGACATGGTTAGAAGTTACCGTGAGCAGCAGTGGGTGGGAGCGCAGTCTAACACGGGCTGAGATGCAGTCAGTAACTTGGGATGGCTTCAGGTTTATGATCTTTCAGGCGGCCCTAATTCTAATCTGTCTCCAGCCCCAGTTGTTCAGTAACTCCGTGCATTGCTTAAGCAAAACTACCTTTAGAAAGAGCATTAATTTTTAAACTTTTTAAACTGCTGTGCACAATTGGCTGCCGCGTTTCACCCACAGAATGTAGTCAATCCACTTTACAGTATATTCTGTGAAACGCTTTGAGATGTCTCAATGGACTGCTAAGGTGCTATATCAATGCAAGGATTATTATTATTCATTCAAATTGTCAAAACATTTCTCAGACGAGTGTATATTTTGTGCCTGTAATTAATCTGCGTGTGATGTGATTCTGGTAGGTTTGGGTTAAATTGTGCTGGGGAAAGATAATTGTGTAAAATAGCCCAAAACATTTCAACTTTCGCAAACATGTCTAATGACAGCATTAATGTGACAGTTGCTGAGTTTACGCCTTCTGCTGACAGCTACGTTCCCTGAGTGTGTTGTTTGATTTGTAACCCTCTTCCCTGGAAGATGTTAGATTGATGTGTAAGGAGTGAAAATGGAAAAATAATTTCTCTCTCTCTCGTCTCCCCTTCCACCCTCCACAAGATCCAGCCCCATTCTGTCTCACCACCTCAGTGGTGTAAGCAATTCCAGTCAATAGACTGCATCCATCAGATTTTTTATAGTGAATGTAAAATGTTGGCTCAATTCCCTTGTAATTTTTGAACATTATTGTCTTGAGGTTCGGGCTGCTTATCCGTCTGATGAGTTTATCTTTCTTTCTGAACTCACACTGTATTGGGTTTGAGATGTGTGAGGGTGGTACTAAGGCACACAGGATGCGCTAGTTTACTGGGACGCTCTGGGGAAGAGTCTTCACAATGAACCCAACAACCCCTCTTGCTCAATAGAGTGAGTCTGTGCTTAGCAAACCTGAGGACACCCACTTCCCTCGACCAGTGAGCTGTGGAGTTCAGTGTGTTGGCTCCTCGGGACATCCCACCCCCCGCCATGAAAGACAAATATAAATTGTGCGACTTTAGCACTGAATTTTTTTGCTGTGGACACTTTCTAACCATTGACATGTTTGCCTTTCCATGTGTTAATCTTTGTTCTTGGCTATTAACACTGTGTCTGGGTGAGCTTTTCTGCTTCACTGTTACACTGTAGATCCCTTGTGCCTCTATAGGAAACAACTACAGTATCACGAAGCCTGTGGTAGTCATTGTTTGCAATGGTAACTCGTGTGGCTGACCCACCGCGCTGTCAGCTCCACAATCACAGCTATGAGCTCACACCAACTGTGGTTCTCTTGAGATTTGATTACTTGCCTGTGTTTATTACTCAATATTGTGCTGTGTACAGAGATAAGAGGGAAATTTGAGAAAATATATCCCTCAAACCCAACTTCAATGTACTAGGTTTCGTGTTTGTGCCTTATTTCACAGCACACGCCCCTGGGAAGGATATCGAGCACCAACCGCTCAGTGATAAACAAGCTGTAAAACTGTCTTTTGTTAAAAGATGATGTGAAGCTTCTGTTTATAGTAAGTTCTACTTTCCATGGCTGACGTTTTGAGAAGTGTTTGCTATTGTCATTTACTCCATTATATTGTTCAGATATTGCTATAAATCATTTTTTATGTGATGTGAATGGGGGAATCCTCCCCAAATTGTATGTGATTTTATTACTCTGATTTGTGCAAATCTCAAAATCATGTTACATGTACTTTGCTCCCACTTTTATCATGTAGTGCTGGTCAAACTGATGTTAAACTATATATGTGTAAATCTCTACAGGGCACAATAAATTTTGAAAGAAGCTATTTTTTTTCTGTGCCTCGTCTCCAGTTTTAAAGGTGTATTTTTAATATAAAATTCAAATAATTAAATTCAAAGGGGGATGAATATTGAATTTGTTTCCAGCAGCACATTCATTCCACATGTGACTGAGGTCTCAGCGATAGGGAATTAAAGGGGTTGTTAGAACAGAAACCAGAAGGAACTCTGTAGCTCATTTCTGAATTGGATGCAACAGAAGTACTTGGCCGGCGATCAGCAGTAATACTGTTATACTGAAGGTCAGCGTGAACCAGGTGGGGGCTGGTAGCTGCTGCCACTCACAAGAAACCTAAGCAAGGAGCTGGATTGCGAGAGGAGAGAGAACGTCTGATAGCAATCAGGAGAGCCTGAGAACAACTAATGCAGTTGTAGACTAAATTATAACAAGTTTACATCATACAATAAACAGGATAAAAGTGTCACACATACAGTTTTCACTCAGCAAATATGAGATATCCTGACATGGTTTTGTAACTACTGCAATGGCTAAACAATCCAGTGGCTTAACTATATAAAACAGCATTGCTGTAATTCAGTGAAGTTGTTCCAATTCCCATCATTAACTGCAAGAGTAATTACATGATTCATCAATGCCAACAGAACATGGCCAGCAACTTACCAGCTTACACTCTCTGCTACTTGTGTATAAATATATACTGAAGCGCTCGCTTCTAAAAAAATAGGAAGGGTGGCACAGATAAAAGATGATATAAATGAAACGAAACAGAACTGACTGCAATGCAACACACAACAGACAGTAAGTTACTTTCCTGGCAGCAGATCTTAAATCTTAAGTAATATATTATGCAGGTAGTGAGGTATAAATATCTTCACAAACAAATGTGGTCTGCCACACACAGTACTGCTACTGCTCAAACTGTTCCAATATTAATCATTTAAATTGCCATTCAAAAAGCAAACAACATGAATAGGGGATAATAATAACCTTTTTTTAAAAAAAAGTCACTCAATCCTCGACGGTTTGTGGGACGCTGCTCTGCAATTGGCTGCTGTGATTCGCCCACAAAATATACAGTCAAATTACAGTTTATCGTATGAAGTGCTTTGAGACGTCTAAAAGACGTGATAAGGCACTATATAAAACGCAAGGATTATTATTATACGTTCCACTATTCCGAGATCATTTTTGTCTTTTGGAAAGAAGAAACGTGTTCCTTCTCTTGCGACACCACAAACCTCATGTTTTGTTTAACGCTGAATTGTACCAGGAGCAACTTCAAGCCAGCAATGTCTGTCAGTCACCGTGTGGGCGAGTGATGTATGAGTGTGAGGGGAGGGGATGGGGTGGGAATAAAGTTGTAAGGCTACATACATTAGTACTTCTGCAACCATTTTCATTTATTTAAGTTACTTATTCCAGTCGTCAACAGCAATCATTTTTTGGTTGCAAACTTATTCTGAGAAACTTTTTTTGGTCTTATTGTGACAGATTTTCCTCTGGTTAGTCAGGTGGTTTCTGTTCACCAGTAACGAGTAACAATTCTATTAAAAATATCTTTTAATGAGTAATGTTTCAGAGTCGGTATTTAAAAACATCATAAAAGACCAACACTAAATAACAACAGAAAATTATTGTGGCCCTTTCTATGCAGCTTCCCCCCAAATCTGGCAATTCCCCCCCCCCCCCAAGCTCTTCTGTACACGTACCTTGGTCAGGTCGGGGGCAGGAAAAGCCCACCCCCTACATAAGTGACTGGGAAGAAATACTTCCTTTATATTTCTCCCCCCTCCCTCCCCCCTATTGTTTGGCTATAAATTACAAATTTAAGTATAAATGGCTGGAATTCTTACCTAGTGCCCAATTTAAAGGCAAGCACACCCTGATATGTGAAATAAGTACAACCGACATTAAATATTAATGCAAAGATAATAAACATTTCCATTCTGGCTGTAATTTCACAACACACTACAGACTTTCTGCATTCTCTACACAACTGATGACCAATGACCCCTTTAACTGACATTGTTACCTTTGGACCTTCAATCCACGTTTCTTAAAGATGGAAATAATAAGAACTGTAAAACGGTTCCAGTATATTCCCCAGTAAACTGAAGATCATTCCCTGCAGGTTCGATATAGAAGCATTTGGCAGTTCAGACGATAACAGATTTGATTTTTTTTATATATACACAGGACTTGGTGTTCGATATTTACACAGAATCTGCTCAATTTCTAACACTTTTTGTCTATAAATCACCTTGTTAGGAAACGAAAGCACTCTTTAACAGCTGACTTGATCTAATTTTACTAGGAAGACCTGAATATTTCCCTACTGTAAAAAAAACCCCAAAAAATCCAGGACAAATTCCATCCGTCCTCCTCGTGTTGTTCCAGTGCTCAACACACCGAAACGTACTCGCACAATGAACAACAAGCACGTGACTTTTTTTAATATTATAAAAAAAACACTATCGTAAGCCATGCACGGTTCTGGTGCCCATCGCCCTCCAATCCCAACAGTAAATCTACACTTGTGTTTTTCTGTAGTTTAAAAAAATAATAAAATAAGAGGAGATTCATACTTTGTGTCTTGCCCGTCACACAACATACTTTGTCTCTTGTCTGCACTTCTGGCTCGGCCTTTGCTGCTTTAGTCATAGTCAGTGATTGCCACCGTTCTGCTCCCATGCCTCTGATCCTTGTTTCTTCCATATACAGTTTTGGTTTCCCCTCTGTATTGCGTTATACTAAAACGTCTGTTGTTCTGCTCATAGAATCCTTGGACTTCAGGACTTGCAAGGACTGCAATCCAAGACCAGGGTAGCTCTCTACATCTCTGCCATGGTTTTCTACCTATTTCCCTGAAGAGTAGACAAAGTTAAAACCGAATTGGTGGCAGCAGGCACACACTGGTATTTCACTTGGCTTGACGCTGGTCATCCCAGCTGGCACTCCCAATATGGATCAATAACACAATCCAGCACAGAATCCCCCACAAATTGGCAAATCAGGAACCGCCTTTCACAATTTTGTTCCAGAAAGGTTTACAGGTTCTATGGAATCCAGCCCTTTCCTTTCAGCTACTTGGTCTCTGAGTTACTGTCACAGTTCACTGGTGACGGTGCAGTGGTGGGAGAGTTCACGCAGTCTGTGGGGTGGTTGTCCTGGTCGGTTAGAGTGGTGGTTTCTGTCAGCTGAATGCCCTGGATCAAATGGATCAGCCGTTTCACCTTTTCCAGAGAGATCTGCATATCCTTTTGCCGAGCAAGTAAGCTGTTCTTGGTCTCCATACATTTCTAAAGAAAATGAAAAACAAAAGGTTATTTTCTCTCTGGTTTTCTCGCCGATTGCCCCTGAGGCTGCTCCACGTCCCCACCCCACCATCGGCAGCCGAGCTTCATCCTCTCCAGTCCCACCCTTTGGAACTGTGCCCCACAGTCCCTTTACTTCCTCCCTTGCCTCCTTCAAGACGCATCTCAAGACCCTCCCCTCCGGCCACCCTCCGACCCCTACCCCTCCCAGTCCTCCTGATCCCAACCCCCAGCTCAGGTCCAAATCCTTGACTGTCCAGCAGCTTGGGACATCCTCCCGACCTGAAAGGCTCTGTACACATGTAATTTGTTGTTGTCGCTTCAGATTCCTCGCAGCCCAATGCAGGTTGCGTTCACTCCTCACAGAATAGAAAGGATTGTTCTTTTCTCCCATTTCTAACAAACTTGCTCAAATGACAAGCACCTTTCAGGCAGGATAAATAACTCAAAACCGTTAATAAAGACACCCAGAAGCACTGAGCAGAGGAAGGACAATTGTAGGATGTTGACCACAAAAATAGTTTTAAGCATATTTCAAAGATAGGGAGAAAAGGAGCAAGACAAAGGGATTCATACATTAAAAGAGTACTAAGCGCGTGTGCAAATTATAAATGACTGTCCCAGTATTGGGTAGCGGTGGAAGGCCATACAGCCTGAAGGGTGTAGATTCTATTCTAGTGTTCACTAGGGACAGCAATCGTGGCTATAATTGAGCCTTGCTTAGGGGAGAGAATAGTCAGCTCAAGGTCCTTCTTGTGATCACTATCGAGTGCTCCTGCTGGGAGATGTGTTACACCCAGGTAAGAGCATCTGGTATGGGTGATGCTGCTCTCCAGTTATGCAGAAACAAATTGCTCAGGTTTCCACATAAAGAAGAGCCTCTGGGGTGAGCTGTCACAGAGCAAGTGTGGAACCTGCATAAACACAGTTAGCCCCAAAGGAAAAAAGAGAGACAATCAGTAACAATAATTCCCTGACCACCGAGCAATGAATATCTTTTATAAAAATTTGCTAGTTTTATAAATCACGTTTAATTGACCAACATTTCTTTAACTGGATAACTGCACTAAATAGAAGTTATTAAAATCCTGGCACAATCTGAAGTCTGGCCTTAAGTTTGTTTTAGTTTTATACTAGCAGTGGAATATAGCTGAACTCCCAATGCGTGTACCATATTCCCTTCGCCTCGCTCCCTTCAAGGCATGTCTCAAGACCTTCTCTGCGACCACGCTTTTGGCCACCCTACTACCCTCCTTGATCCCAACCACCTATTCGGGTCCATATCCCCCACTGTCTAGCGCCTTGGGACATCGTCCCGACGTGAAAGGCACTGTGTAAATGTAATTTTGTATTGTGTGTTTCACTGGTTCTGCGACTGTATTGATTTATTAAATTACACCAGATAGCTTATGTGCACCTCCTGAGGTCAGTGCTCCTTGCAATCTGCAGTACTATTTTAGAATTAATGTACCTAAACAAATAACTCAATCCACCAGAATATCACGTCTGAAACATCAAGAGAAAACAAATTGATTAGACTGCTGCTTTCTTGCTTTGCTAACAGGCACCCGGTTATATAAACACTGCACATCTCACACGTATTGATTCACAGGAGTGTTGCTTCTCTTTGCAATGATAAAACATTTAACTGAAGCCTCTACATCAGAAAGAATCTGTATCTCCCCAAGCTGATGTGCGAAATTGACCTCCAACGTACGTCGTCAGTGGAGTGTTACATGACTGGAAAAAAATCTGGTTAGGAACAGGATTTAAGATTATAGGGAGAAATATACAGTGAAAGAGAGAGAGAGAGTGAATAGTAAAACCAGAAGACACAGCCTGTGACTGAAGGGGTAAATTCAGAACAAATCTACCCAAACACTATTTCAGTGAGCATATAGTGAAGCTGTGGAACAGGCTCCCGAGGGAGACAATTGAAGCAGGAAGTGTTAATTCTTTCAAACACAAATTAGATAGTTTTCTTTTAGGAAATAACATTGTGGGATATAGTACATAGGGAATCTGGGAAATATATGCATGTGACCACCAGGAAGGTGGAAGGTGAACTAGATGGGCCTTGGTCTTTTCTCATCTAGCATTTCTTATGCTCTTATCTTCTTGTAGAGAAACAGATAAGAGAGAGAGAGAATCACATGCTGTTCACAGAGAGCTTCTGAGGCTCTGGGAAACTGCAGCGGGTTTCCTCAAGAGACAATGGTAAAGATTCTGCGGAAGGAATGGATGGATCAGCTGACGAACGGATGCTTGTTGCCTGCACTCGTGTCATTTTATATTATTCACTTGTGATCAAACTAGATGTCTGCCACTCGGAATACCTGTTTTTGTGCCTGGCTCTCCTGAGCTGCTCATGGGCCAGGTAAGAGAACCAAGAGAGATACCCAAATCAAAATCAGGGTTGGTTGGAACAAGAGACAAAGCCCGTTGCAACATAGGAAAAGCAACACAGAATGACATTGGGGATCTGCTTTATGCATGGTTCAGCAGCAGGTCAGGCCAAACCATTAAGCAGCTCTCTAAATGCACACGACATCACTTCACTTTCTTACTGTAAATCCTGTTTAAGAGTTTCTCCTAAGATACTCCTGATGTGAAAGGTACGAGATGAAATGCAAGGATTATTATTTATTAATATTACAAACGTCCCGAGTCCAAACCACCTGATTTTGCCACAAGAAAAAGCACTTCCAACCTAATATTCGCATTTGACTTATGTCAAAATGTACTGCACTGCAGTCAGCCTAAACCTCGTGGCTACAGCTTCCTAGTCCATCCTGATGGATGAACAAGTGATTTGTGATGAATGAAAAAATTAAAGCAATTCTGTTTGAAATCAGAAATGTGCTTATCTATTCCCCGCCTGTAATTATATCTTCAAAATCGGATCAACTGATAACTTTGTGTCACTGCCAGTTCTGCAATTTGTTGGATAATGTATAAGTAATATTAGCTTTGACACAGTTATTAATCACTCAGTGGATAGCTTCCCAGCAATCTGTACATGAGCCAGTTTGTACAAAGTCTGGGGACAACATTGACGTTCTGAACCAGCTTCAAGGTAACATGCCTGGCAAGGGAATGGTAGAATCGAGTCAGCCCTCTGCGGCAGTCTGGGTAGTCCAGATATCACTGCACAGGAAAGAAGCTTTTGCACTGTGTCAAATCCACTCTTTTTAGTCTAATTTGCACTGTGGTTCTCTGGGTGTGACGCCAATCCCTGATCTTACTCACCGTTATGGAATTGCTGAGGTGTTTGACTTTCTGTTCCAGCTGCTCCCGCTCTTGCTTTAACTCTGCGCTCCACTTTAACAGTTTCTGCTTTTCCTCTTCTTTAGCTGCGAGAGAGAACTTTAAACCTTAGCGGTCACCAGAAAATTGCCACAGGATTCAGGGTTAGGGACTTGCTAATAAACAATGCGATCAGTAACTGTCAGAACGAGATGCCCACTTCGCTGATTCCTGCTGCTAAACAGGATTGGTAGATCATGGATACCCCACATCAGTGCGAGCAGTACTCCTGCTAACGGAGTATAGCAAACCCCCTTCAGCAGTAAACTAATGATGCTGTTCATCCCTGGTGATAGAGGTGCAACAGGGAATGGTTTGTCAACCAAACAGTTCAGCGTGGTTCAGATTCATACAATGCAAGTTTGTTTAGCTGAATGGTGGGCACATAGAAATTTGTATAAAGTTTCTTTGATGGTCACATTTAAAGTTATTATCTCATTTCTCTGACTATCTTGGGAATAGAATGTAACCCAGAACAGAATGATGGATTGATCAAACATCAGACATCATATTCCTTAAATAATACCTCTCTCCTTCTTCTTTACAGGTATGACAAAGAAGCATTGAAACTTATACATTCACAAAATATAATGAATTTAGATTTAATTTGGATGCATAAACAAGTCTTGTTCAGGAGACTTTGGTCACAAGTCCTTACCAGCTTTGTAAGCAATGTATGAATGGACGATTGCCAATGTCCCAGGCCATGGAATCGCCTCTTCCTTTTTGAGAATCTAAAAGTAAAAGGTTTGCACCAGTGATTGAGAGAAGCCACGACACACGTCAATTAGCAGGTGGTGTTAAAACCGGAAACACACCCATTGTTGAGACAAGGGGGCTTTCCTTGGTCAAAAGACATTTATTCCTTAAAGTGCTGAAATATATTTCCTCTTAGTACTGAAAACACAAAGACACCTAGTGACAACAACGATATTTGGTTAAAGGGCAGCCAAATTTTCTTCCTCTTGTACATCAACAGCAAATTTTGTGTGTGCAGGTGCACGTCTACATGCGTACACACATACACACACACACGTACGTGCTCATGAGACAAATTACCATGCTGAGGAATGGAAATGTTTGCCATCTTCTGCACTAAGTGATGGTATCCAAACATTCCCATGTTAGGTGTAACACGGGTAAGACACAGTTCCGAGATATCAGCCATGTGCCTCACCTATAGGAACAGCGCCCTCTAACTGCAGCAGCTTGACATTTCACTTACAATTCATCCCTAGACCTCTCGAGAGTAAAACCTGACAAGAGTTAGCTGTGAATTACAGCCAGTGGTTATGTTGGGAATTGAAGGCTGGGGAAACAGGATATTTTACTGTGGATCCTAAACAGCTGTCTGACAAAGACGACCATCATCCTCTCCATCAAATCTGCATCTGAACGCTGGTTCTGAGATGAAAGCAGTGACCGAGGTGAGTGAGTGTCCGTCCCACTCCCATTTTCATCGCCTTTACCACCTAAAATATGGTCAATTGCTGCACTGTTCAAATCATGGCTGATAGATTATAGTGACAACCATTCCTTAACCATTACTCCTCGATTCCTAACAGGACAGTTTGTCTGTCTATAGTTAGTTCTGGTTTTATTAACAGAGCTGTTTGAATCATCTATGTGTATACCCTGGAGTGTTTGTGACATATTATACAACACATGGAAACATAAATCAAATAGAATGAAATAAAATAAAGCAACTCCCACCCCCAAAACAAACAAAATCTACACCCTAGCACTCTGCGCTACACCAGACTGAAGGACTGAGGCACTGACTAAACCCACACCTGCTCCTGACACTTGGGGCAAATCCACATTCCTTTGGGAATGGCTTTTAATGGCGGGTCCAGGCACTCCAGGTGATACACACGAGAACAAGTGTCACACATCAGCAGCTGTCCACTACGCCGACACACAGAGCAGAAATCCTCATGGATGTCACCCTATCAAAAAATAAATCACACAATCATTCACGCTGCTTAACTCAACACTATGGGTTCTAATTTTAATTTTGTTACACTTGACATTTTAGTGTTTTTTTTCCCCAATGTAATAGACACAAGCCATAATCAAAAGGCTTAAAGCAGCGGCTGCCCTGTAGCTACGATGGGAGAGCACTGGGAGTCCTGGGTTAGGAGATGCAAGGTTCACTCCCAGCTTCAGCTGCCTCTTACACTCGGGCTTCCCTTTGACTGGCCTGAGCTGTGGTAGGAGGGATAACTGGGACCTTTGTTACATTGCTCAAATGCACCTCCTAATGGGTCAACCAAGAAGTGGTCCTGGCTGCATCCACAAAGACCTCTGTGGAGCAGACTATGCACAAGAACACTTGCAGAACTTTCTCACTTAAATCTCTTTTCACAATGAAGTCGGGGAGATGACTATAGATGTAGAGAGCTCCAACTTTACACAAAGTGCTCGAGATGTAGAGCACAGTATCAATCCGGACTTCATTTATCAAACCATAGTATCTAATCTACTGTCAATAATGAGACCTGGTGCTCTAAGCATTTAACCAGAACCACTGTCATAACCTGGAAAATAAATCTAAGAACTTAAAAAGTAAAAAAAAATGAATACATGAAAAATAAACAAACAAATGTAATTGTGCTGCATTGTGGACAGGCTGAGAAATGGTCAAGTCTCTTCAAAAATAGCCAATTGGTTGCTTTATTTTATTTCGCCCACAAAATATACAGTCAATTCACTTTGCAGTATATTCTGTGAAGTGCTTCGAGACGTCTCGAGGACGTGATAAGGCGCTATAAAATACAATTATTATTATTAATATTCCACTCTCTGCAAACTTACCAAATCTTAATTTGGATCTAAGATGACCCGATCTTATGCACCTTCAAACAGAGGTGTCTCTCTCTCTCGCTCTCTCTCTCATTCAGAAAGCCTGCCACAATTTTCTTTGAAATAAATATAAATGCACTCACAGATAAGGTTGTGATTTTTGTGATGTTTTCAGTGCTGTTTGTCTCATCCTGTATCTTGCTGACAGGGCTCCTTTGTAAAGTAGCCCTTGCGGCTAAAAAGGGCAAACCCTGTTTAAAGATGTTTTAAAATTAAAATAAAAATAAATGTGAGTCTCCCGTTAATTGCATTGCATGTTAACCCACTTAGATTCTCTCATTAACTTTTAATTGGTTTTAATTGTGTGTTGTAATCACTGCTGACGCATCAATTCCCACTGTGTTCAAATAGCCAGTTCTTCAGTGCTGTAGTGACTAGTTATATATTTTCACTACATTTCTCTCCTGGATTGTATACCCTAGTCTCTGGCAAATAGAATGAACTAAAGATCTCTCCACTGCCTTCACGAAACAGTGTTCAATGGCTGTCCAAAATGGTGTACAGACCGCAGCCAAAGTAGACTGTTGCCAATTTCTCCCTTTGACGACCAGGTGGGCACCTTGCCTCCAGCTCAGTGCTGTATCTGGTTGAAATGAGCAAATCACTGAGGGCAAGTATCACACGAGGTGCAGATTCCCACTTATGGTATTGTAATCCATCATGCAATGCAAAGATATGCTTTCCCACTGAACCATGGTATCCGCTCATTTCCTGCAGCAGCCCAGTGTTTCACTTTATATTCCCAGGAACTTTAAGGCAAACAGAAGGTGGCATATTCAAAACTAAAATCCTAAAAAAAAACATTCCCCGTCAAAATATAAAACAGCTATCGGCATAACTGGCAACAATGAAAATGTCAGCAACAAAATGAAACTGGTTGACAATATAGATTATGTAGTATGATACACAGTACAACACTGCATCAGATTCTTTATGTACTGAAATGTTTAAACAAAATCATTTGACATCAGTGGATGGATGACCTACCTGATGGGATCTTCTTCATTCTTCAATTCAGAGACATCCTCCACACACTGCTGGATTGAGCCTCACACAAAGCACCAAAATACTGGGCAATGCTCCCTTGAAGAAAAAGTGTGGAAGAGGGCTCTTATAGCTCTCACTCCCACTCTGTACACATCGGGCAGGCCTCCCCAACGCTTCTTCCGTTTATTTCACAGAACAGCTTTAGTCTATGAGGGTGATCTCTGCAAGATCTGGTGGGGTTAGCTGGGTGATGGGTAGTGGGTGGGGGAGTGTCAAGTGGAGGAATGCTGAGGGATGTGCTAGCTCGTCCAGGAGCAAGGGTTACAAACAACCTCCTGATTTGGCAAAGATAATTTGTTAATTAATTAAGTTAGGCAATGATATCAAATCTTGTGCCCTCTGGCTATATTCTCACAGTGGAAATATTCTTCCAACTCAGCTTTATGTGAAGAAAGATAAAGGATGAAACACATCCTGACAATGGAAGTGTGAAGTTACTTCAGGCAAGAAATCAGGATGGGAGCTCAGGGAGTATGTGTCAGATCAGGTATAGCTGATTGATCACCATGAATCATGAATTTCAACAACCAAAGAAGAAACTAGAGCTACCAGCAATGCAGAATTGCAAGACAAGAACTTCAGGTAGGCCATAATAATAATAATGCGCTTTGATATAGCACCTTATCATGTCTTTTAGTTGGAGCATGGGTGTACTGTGCACCTGTGCAACACCCAGCTTCTGGCACTGACCAGCTAGTTCCCATCTCTTGACATGTCTTTTAGATGTCTCAAAGCACTTCACAGAATAAAGTGAATTGACTATATTTTATGGCTGAATTGCGCAGCCAATTACACACAGCAGTATCCCACAAACAGTCGTGGATTGAGTGACCCAATTTTTTGTTTTTTTAAATCGAAATCCAGATTTCCTTAGCTCAAAATGGATACATTCAATCATGCTAAATAAATTTCATAGTACCCAGTGGTACAAATAGATGTTGGTGTTAAAGCTTTCATGAACCTCCAAACAGGAAATTTTCCCCAAAAAACAGACCAAAGCGTAAAATGGTAATAGCTGTCCCCTGATGTAGCTTGGCTTCAAGTGCAAGTCAACCAGACAGTGTGTGGAGGATGTTCAGAATGAAGAATAAAATATTAGAGGTACGTCATATCACGTGGGCAACATGTAAGTGGGGTCTTTACCTACGATCCTCTGCTCCCAGTCATGCATTCTATTTGTACACATCCTTTGAATTGCAGTTATTTCGCTAGTCACATGTAAAGTCTGGACACATATCTCTAGGCTCCACTGCCACAGCAGAAGTTTACCTGAAGGATAAACCATTAACTACAAACCACCCATATAAATGCATATAAACTCCATCAAGCAAATATTGGAAGTCTAGATATATATGCTGTAACCTCTTGGAGTGGATAGCTTATAGGTGTGAGCCAGATGGACAACACGTAACCCACGGCATTCCTGTCCCTTTTTGGGAAGAGTCGCTAAGTTCTCAACAAGCGCATCAAGATTTGATCAGATAGTAAGATCACATTTCTATCATACTGGGCAACCGTGTTATTCTGAGCCTCACTTTAGTGCTGGTCCCCAGACCCTAGTTAGAGCATGGGTGTACTGTGCACCTGTGCAACACCCAGCCTCTGGCACTGACTAGCTAGTTCCCATCTCTAACAAGTAACTGTCTTTCAAGTCGTCGCTGAATGTTCTATGTACTACGTGCATGAAGTGTTGCTCACATCACTTTGCAAAGAAAGTCAGGTCAGAGGCACTTTTGTGCAGAACACAGGCATTCTGTGTGCAGGATGTGATGTTAGCAATGTGTAGGAAGTGACATCTGCATTAACCCAATGAACTGGAAGTCAGGCATTTTTTTCTGCAAAATTGATTTTAAAACGGGGATTTGAGTTTCTGCACCTATACCACTGGGTTATAATAGGACCGCTCTGTGTCATGAGCTTTTAGCTAAAAGCTTTTGTTCATTGAACAGAATATGATGTCTCTTCCAGTCTACCACCCACCCAATAGATTTACAGCAGAAATCCTGGAAGCTCAGATTACAGACTTCCATCATTCGCTTACATGAAACTCTTGACTGGGAAAGGTTCATCTTAAATATACAATTATAGCCAGTCTCGGAGAGCGCATTTTGGCTGCTGCACCCAACCCGCTTTCCCAACCCCCTGCTCGGGTCCAAATCCCTGACTATCCGGCGCTTTGGGATGTCCTCCCGACGTGACATGTAATGTGTTGTTATTGTTGTAGCTACAATCAACAGGCTGAAGAGCCCTGCAACACAGCTACTGGCCAGTGTGTTGAGTCATTCTCCCAAATTAATAATGCCAGCAGGCTTATTGGATACAGAGCAAACATACTGCAGAAAACCAAATCACCTGCAGCAAAAGGAAACAGGTTTCAATTCAACTTCATGTACATTGTTCACAAAACATTAGTTTAATATATTTTGCACCGTTCTCACCCAGCGTTTGAATCAAATATTCCCAAGTCAGGTGCAGCCCAGGTCAGACATGCTGCCTCAGTGATGGAAGTACAGCCACTGACTGACTGCTCCACCACCCAGCAGCTCTCTGCGAACCCAGTGCACCCAATGTTGAATTGTGGACAGTTCTATGGAAACCCTTTCAAGTAGGATTTTTACTAAGAGAGACCTGATCTTTGGAAGGTCAAACTGAGCCAATACTCATATCAATTAAAGAAATAATAAATTAATCAAAATTGATATGGCATCAATGTCCCCATGCGCCATGAAATTACTGAACTGATGCTACAGTTCCATTCACTGTCCCGTTACTTCTTCTTAACTCATTATTTATGAATATGACCTAGCCCTGACCCTAACCCTATAAAACCAGACAACTTACATCTACACAGCTGGGACTCGAAGCAATCTGTGCTGGAGCACCAAAAATGAGCAACCTCTCCGTTCTTTCGATATCTGGGGAGCTGGGGTGGTTCGGGGGGGAGGATGGAGCCACTGCGGCCACACCCAGCACACTAGTGTACTTAGGAGGGCGACCTACACACGAAAAANCAGACGAGAAAAACAATATATACACACACGCACACATACCTTCAACCACTGATCCTCATTGGCTGCGCATTGAGGAAAGAGGAGGAGCAGAGAGAGTGTTAATTAGCAGTCAAAAGTTAACAGTTTAAACAAGAAAGTGGCAGGATTGCAGAAACATTTCTAAACTAGATAATATGAATGCAATAGAGCTGGGACGAGTCAATGTCCAGAAGCAGATAAACAACTGGACACTAACCTGCATTCAAATGGCTCAGTGCTGGTATGATGTGCTAAAATGCAACTAATCCAAAGCGGTTGTAACAATGCCGATATTGTTAAAGTCATATTTGCGTCAGTGCTTAAAAGGTGCACGTGAAAATAATTTTTTATGGATGAAGCATCCAACCTACAAAGGTCAACACTTCATCACAATATAACATCCAAATAAATTGCTTAACCTGGTTCATGAGCAACGGTCTTCACTCACAATTTTAACAAGTCAGTTCAATCCTCAGAAAATTTAAACAGAATTTGCCTCCATTTTTTAAACTAGATGTGCAAAATCAGTCTCAAATAAATTCCACCTAAAACCAAACCTCATTTAGACAGGCAAAACTATGTCAGATTTGCCCTATAATGCACATAGACATTTGTCAGCAGCCAGCACCTCATACATTCATTAAATTCCAATTCCCTGTTCACCGAGTGTCAACCACATCGCCACAGCCTTACCTGGGAATTTGTGGGAATAACAATCCGTGTGGGAAGAAGTCACTAATGGAATTCATTCTAAGACATTCCTGTCTCCTACACTCCAAACATGACTCCAAAAGGTTGTTCATTTCAAAACTTGTTTTGCTTTCTCTTTCAAATACTGGATAAGACACTAGTTAGGCCAGATTTAGGAAATAGAGAAATAGCTGACATAGGACAGCTTGCATAAACTTGATCTGTATTCCCTTGAGTTTAGAAGTTTGAGGGCTGATCTCATTGAGGTTTTAAAATAGTAAAGGGGTTTGATAGCGTAGCTACAGAAAAACTATTTCCTCTGGTGGAGGAATCCACAACTGGGGGGCATAATTTTCAAATTGGAGCTAATCGATTTAGGAGTGAAATCAAGAGGCAGTTTCTTTACTCAAAGGAACCTGGAACTCTCTCAAAAGGTTGTGAATGCTGGATCCATTCAAATTTTCAAGACTGAGGTGGATAAATTTTTGTCAGGTAAGGGTTTCAGCCTCTCCACCCCCACCCTTTGGAACTCCACGTGAAAGTATTGTATTATATCAAGGGATATGGTTAGGGGCGGGAGGGGTGTGGCAGGATAGGTGGTTTAAAATAGTGAAGAGCCACATAGGGAAGTAGCAGTAAATAATAAAACTTTACCAGGGATCTAAAAAATAAGCTTGCTTTTTTTTTCTCTGGGAATAACTTTTTGTGGAGGGAGAGGGAAAGGGATACTTATTATTTCTTATTAATTCCAAGAAAAGAATGAAAATAGATCAACCCACATGCAATTATATAACACTGTGAGCAGGCAGCAGAAAAAAGTTAATTACCAAGTCAATAAAGGCAATATAATAGTAAGTAGAAACAGAAGGGCAAATATTAATGCTGCAGCATCACATAATTATAATAATAATACTAATTCTTGCATTTGATATTGCACCTTGTCACATCTTCAAGATGTCTCAAAGGGCTTCACAGAATATACCGTAAAATGTATTGACTGGATATTTTGTGGGTGAAACTCAGCGGCCAATTGCACACAGCAGTGTCTCACAAACAGTCGTGGATTGAGTGACTAAATTATTAATTATTTGTTTTGAGGGAGGTTAATTATTTTTAATTGTAAGGCGTGTTCGAAAAATAAAACTCGCCTGTGAGGGAAAAGTATTTTCAGTTAGACTGAATAAAGTAATTGATTATCTTCCTACTGGGTGGGACCAATGTTACGTACACAGATGTAGTGTACTGAAAGTGTCACTTCTGCTGTGTGTTTAGGTTCCATCTTGTTTAATAGCAAGAAGCCACGATCAAAGAGCATAGGTCAGCCATCCAGGCATTCAGATTGTGCATTCTGGGTATAAATCTCATGGCAAAAATGTTCACATCCTTAAAGCAGCATTTGAAAGTATCGTTTGTATAGCGATACATACATAAAACATTGATGGGGTACACAGCATTAACATGAGCCAGTCCATCATCACTATAACAGGGTAAATAACTATCATGGAGAGAAACATTTAATATCTAATCGATGTTCTTCACTGGTGCAAATGTATATCATTTTCAGTTCTGATTTTCAGGGAGACCAGAATATTTAACCCCTAGAGCATCGAACACTCTTTACTGCCCTCAACACATTGACAACGACTTAAACCACTGGAGGAAATGCAAGAAATGCACATGTGTGATACCCAAACCCAGGGAAAAACATTATACATCTGAAAATTACTGATGTCAGTCAAGATGTCATAGAAACCACATGTTTTACAGATATATCACTGTATAAATATGGCCTCATTGTAAATTACGTATTGTTAAAAGCACAAAAACAGGTCATTCAACCCAACTGTTTAATCTTCACATGAGCCTCTGCCACTCCTAATCCCACCTCTATTTCTTTCTCCCTTACGTATTATTGCAATGTAACAGCTAGTGTTTTAGTGTCTACAGGCTGGTTTTAAGCATGCATTTTTGTAGCCGTACCAACTAACAAGACTTTCTTGAAATGGCACCAGCTTTAATGTGCCTATCAATTAGTTACATGGAATCATTCACATGGAAAACTTGAAACCAATGAGAAGAAATCACTTCCAATCTTTCATGAATTTAGTGAAACCTTGATTTACTGAGATCTCATTCAATCAACAAAGCATTTAGGAATTGTATTAAGAAGTGGCCTCAGGGTTTTAACATCAACTGTTTTAGTGCAGATGGTGGCAAATGGTGACAGAGATCTCACAGGGTCAAACACAAATTCTATGACTTTTGCTGTTAACATGTGAAATTAGCAGCAACTGCCTGGTCTATATGGAAACCCGAAAATGTGACAGATCCAAAACTTTTTAAAAACTAAATCAGATCTACCCAGGAGGGTGAGTACACAATCTGCTTCTAAAAGCTTTTTGTGATCCATGCACTCAAATTGCTATAAAGTGGTCTGAGGAGATTTTCCTTCTGAGTAGCAAGAGCTACTGAATAGCAAGAATGAGATTGGTACATTGACAAATTTTGTACAGAAATAGTTTACCATCTGTCCAATTTTGATAAAACTTTAAAATATCTTTAAAGAAACATAAAGACTCAAATAGATAGATATCACCTCATCACGCCTAAATACTGCTATGTAAATACTGATTCTCTATTCCTAAGAATATTAACAAGACCATTGATTGAATATAAATGTAAAAAGGAATCTCGAATTCACATTTGCTTGGCCAGAGTATACTTATGTCTTACCTCTTCTCCGCGTCCCAGGTTGCACAGGACTGTTCAAGTAAGTTACTGCTGATTTTTTACGCTGCAATACAGAAGAGGATAAAATCATAATCTGCAAAATCAAGTTCAATCCCATAAAATAACCGCCTCAATGCCTCAACCAGCAATACATCTGCTGTGCATAATTGGCTGCCACCTTTCACCCACAAAATATTCAGCCAATTCACTTTACAGCATATTCTCTGAAGCATTTTGAGAAGTCTCGAAGACGCAATAAGGTGCTACATCAAATGCAAGTATTATTATTATACAATCTCACCATACGCAAAAAGCAATCCAAAATAAAACACTTCAAAGAAGCTGTTCATCAGGCAATCAATAATAATAACCATTTGTTTAGAAAAAGGCAATACCTCTGGTTCATAGATTGCTCCACTGTACACAGGATTCGCTGTTGTCCGGCGTTTTCTTTCTTGCCTCTTGCTTTGGATTTCTGGTTTTCCAAACACAACGGGACGAATGTTGGATTAATTTAATAGTACCCGTACCTTCATAAAAAATTACATTACTGAACTTTTTCTTGGTCTTTTTCTTGAACTTTTTCTTGGTCTTTTCAATGTTTAAATAGGCAAGTGTTTCTAGCCAGAGTGGTGCCTTTGGACATTGTCCCGATGTGAAAGGCTCTATATAAATGTAATTTGCTGTTGTTGCTGACAGTGTTGGCCAGTCCATGGCAGAAGCAATGATCTGACAACCCAACCCAGAAGCGAGACTGGCAATCATTATAACACGGTACCCAATTTTATGGGCCCAAAATACTGCATCAAAAGGAATAATCTTGTGTTCGCATGGGGTGGGGTGTGGAGTGAGGGAGAAACTACACTGATTTCTTACCTTCGAGGTGATCGTGTGTTACCAGTCCCAGGGAAACCATGAATGCAACTTTCTGTAGAAAGAAACAAAAAAATACATTATTCTGCAGTTCTTAAATGAAGGGCACAGCATAAAATTTTACATTGTTGAAAATTTTACATTGTTGAAACAATTGTCAATGTGAAGTGACAATTGTCCACAAAAGCGATAAGACTCATTTTTACCCACCCCAAGATTTTACATTTAAGAGCTCACAGTTAAGACAATGAACTTGTTGTATGAAATACACAGCAAATTGGATATTGTGCTCTGCATAATTGACTAGTTTACTATTTACAGTTATAGTTAGCTAGCTTTACAATACAAAATAGTCAATCAATCAGTATCAAACTGTAAAGTAACCATGAGTTGCATGACATTGTACTGCTTTGGTAAGACGATCACAGTAGTGGGAACATCTAACCTCATGATAAAGCTCCTACCAATTCTTCCTGACTCATCACCCAGATCAAAATCAAAGAGGAACTTGTTGTGGTATGACATTTCACCATTTTACATGCATCTTATATAAAAATCAAAACAAAAAAAGTAGTTTTCAAAGGTAGATCACAACCCCAGCCTTCATAGTTAATGCAACACTCAGATAGGGCTCCTGGGGTTTGTAAATACCTGACCTCACTAATTGTGCTATACCTGACCCACACTCTAGGTTACCCAATTACCCCATAATTCAGCAAATCCACTATCTTGGTCAAGTTGTGTTTTTAACTGGCGCACATCAGATCAAAGACATGTCCAATTACCAGCAGGAAAGGCACAATTATTTTAAAATAAGGACAAGGAATGAGTTTTGGATGTGAAGTAGTAAATTACACCCTTTAACCAACTCACAAAATCTAAGTGGAGAACAAAAGGCTCTTAGTTAGTAGATGATTTAAAAATACCCAAGAAAATACAATGGTAAAAATCAAATGTGAACCGACACGAGTGTTAAAGTGCTTCTTGTACACTTCTACTGATTAAATGAATATAAAAATTATGATCAATCTCATTGTTTTCAAAGCATAGTTTGGGAATCCGCAAGCACAATATAGGTACTCCTGGGAGGGACACAACAATAGACAATCTCTAATACAATGAGGTTTACATCGCCACTGAGATTTAGTTCTCTCTACAATGTTAAAGAAGTAACCAGAAAGTAGAACTTGCTTTTCATAACCAGTTGGTTCACATACCTCTGGGTTCTCCTCTCTCCTAGGTTTGGGTGGAACTGGGGAAGTGGGACTGCTATCATTTTGTCTTTCTTCCCACTCCACCTGAAGTTTGATGGTCTATTGTGACAGAGAACAGTGTGAGAATAGTAGATTGTGAAGTGATCAAATTACAAAATGATAATCTAATAGCATTAGATGTGGAATTGAACGTTTGTTCTGAGGTTGAATGCTAGACTCTCCCTTGAGCAGCAGAAGAAGCTGCTAGTTTATCCTCTGCTCGACAGACCATCTGGTCATCTACAAGTTGACAGGGTGAGGGAGGAATCTATTGGGTTCTCCTCTCAGTGGTTTAGACCACTCGCCTCGCAAGTGAGAGACATGGGCAGGGAAAAACTTGGACAAGTTTCCTTACTCCACATGCCTGTTTACCTAGCAGTAAGTAGGAATCCGGTTGCTAGTCAATCAGCAGATCGCTTTTCTAGTTGTAATAATTCCTTCAAAAAAAAATTGTTACTCAATTCACGACTGTTTGTGGGACGCTGCTGTGCGCAATTGGCTGCCGCGTTTCATCCACAAAATATACAGTCAATTCACTTTACAGTATATCCTGTGAAGTGCTTTGAGACGTCTCAAAGATGTGATAAGGTGCTATATTAAATGCTATTATTATTATTGGGAGATTCTCTACTGGTCAGCTCTAGCATGTTCTGTGGCCAGGCTCCTGAAGGATTCTTTCTCCTCCGGTATATCAATCATGTATCCCAAAAGGGTATTTCAGCTAAATCCAATCTTATCTGCATCTAGGGTCTGCTGTGGGGGGTGGGGGTAGAAAACCCGACGGCTATCTCCTTTCCAGCCAAGGTAGCACTGAGGTGAACTGTAACCCAAACTGATATTAGCAATCTCAGCAGATGAGAATTTTTAACCTCAACCTTCCTCTCTGTATGATGTAGAGTTTTTAAATTACGCAATTCCAACTTTAATAAAACTTCTATTTGACCAGAGTGGTAGTGAGGGTAAGAGGGGGCAGATGGACATCAAAGCACAATTTACACTACGTTTTCATAAACCCTCTTCAAATTGTGCGAGGTAGCTAACTTCTCTGGTATAAACTCCCGATTTCCAAATGGAGAGGTACTGAGCAGTTTCATTGAGAGAAAGAGAAAATTCTAAATTGACGGGGTGAAGGGAGGCATTCTTTGTCTTTCTCATGATTTAGTCGCCGGTTAAAGAGTAGCACGAGCAGAGGCCTGGGACGAAGTAATAAACACATGTAGAACAGGAATATTTGACACCATTGGCTTTTACAGTTCTGATCTAGCATTGTTCCTATTAGTCTATCTGGACTCCCACTCTGAGTGTAAAACTCAGATTTAGTTGGAGAATTGCTTCAAAATATCTGTAATAACAGAATTTGCAACTGTAATGGCTTGAAACACTAGGACTCCAGCAAGTTGCATTAATCACAACTCATGCTCCAAATAACTGCCACTTCATATTGAGTGAATCAGAAATTAATGTTTATACCAATAGCAACGCATGGGATTTCAAGACTCTATTGCAGGCAATGTCACAAATGCAATTTCCGCCCAGATACCAGACTTTACATGTGTTTTAAAAGAAGGTCATTTTGTACCTTGCTATCCAAATTTGCTTTACTCAGCTTTAGTTGTTGGGGACCCACCACTTTAGGCCCAGGAGTGGCTATAACAATACTAGTCAGCTGCGCAGTGGGTAATGTTTTGGTGATCGTAGCTGGTTGGCCATTCACTATCCTAGCCTGATGAATGGAGTTTGCAGATGATGGCAGAGAGGCAGGTGTGATCTTCGTCAACATGACCGGTCGCTGGATCAGATGGGACGTTGTGAACACAGGAGCAGGTGCAGGTGCGATCGGAATGCTGTTTGACACCACTGGCTTTGGACGAACCTGCAAGGACAATGATTCTTTAGAACCTTTTGGTACATTAAAGAAGATGAGGCACAATTGAAAGACTAATTTCCTACAATTTCCCCTAAGTAAAATTCTTTAGAAATATGTACGAAATTGCCCCATATATGTGAACTTCCATAAGTATTGCATCTCAAAACATAGAAAAACATATTTGGCTCCCAATTGTGGAGTGAATGTCTTCAATCTTTCAAAGATCAACCTCCATGTCCAATTCCGATTTACCATCATCCCACAGGGTCAAGAAAGTAAAGAGAAATTTGCTGTGGGCCTCTGACCCTTTAAGATATTGATGTCAAACTGCTGGGTGAGATCTGACACTGCTGCACCCAAGGTCTCATTCTGAGCTGCGGTTTCGTCCATGTTAGGCTGAGGTACTTCCAGAGCTGTCAGATCATCGAAGTAAAACCCTTACAAGTAGCCTCAAGGAGAAGCCTACAAATTTGCCTGAAATCTGACTACTGTGCAGAATCTGGTATACCCCGAAGGGTTTGAGCTTGCCAGGAGCAGTACAGGGAGAACTGGATATTCCATTATCCACATTGGTAGCATTCATATTGTGACTGGTTTCAGAAACCATTGTTTTTGCTCTCATAGGAAACAACCAATTTAATCAGTAGCTAAAATTCTTGGTTCTACGAAGACATTGCATGAGTGTTACTGAAGCTATACATGAAGGGAGCACACAAGTTAGTTCCTCCACTAGAGTAAAAATGGTGAACTTCCAGATCACCATAACTTTAATAAAAAAATTCTGCTGATGATAGGATTATTCAGGTACACTTCTATCAACTGGGACATACATACTGGAGTGGGCATAAGAACACAGAATCATACAGCACAGGCCCATCATGCCTGTGCCAGCTCTTTGAAAACAGCTATCCAATTCAATCCCACTCTCCCCCCACAGCCCTACAAACTATCTACTTCACAGCCCTACAAACTATCTATCTACTTCTCTCTTAAAAGTTGTTATTGAATTGGCTTCCACCACCCTTTCAGGCAATGGATTCTAGATCCCAACAACTCACTGTGTTTATATATTAAAAAAATTCTCCTCACCTCCCCTCTGTTACTTTTAACAACTATTTTATATCGGTGCCTTCGGGTTATTGACCCACCCACCAGTGGAAATAATTTCTCCTTGTTCACCGTACTGAATCCCCTCATAATTTTGAAAACTTCTATTAAGTCTCCTCTTAACTTTCTCTGCTCCAAGAATAATCCTAGCTTCTCTAGTCTCTCCAGATAACTGAAGTTCCTCATTCCTGGTAAATCTCCTTTGCACCCTCTCCAATACCTTGACATCCTTCCTAAAGTGTGGGGCCCAGAACTGAACACAATCTCTCGCTGAGGCCTAACCAATGTTTTATAAAGGTTCATCATAACTTCCTGTTTTTGTATTCTATTCCCCTATTTATAAAGCCTAGTATGCTTTTTCAACAGCTTTATCTACCTGTCTGGCCACCTTCAAAGATTTATTTATATTCCCGGGCAGGGCAAAAGCTTAGGCAAGTTTAGGAACCGGTTGTTAGTCAATTGGCAGATCACTTTCCAAGGGTAATAATCTTTTTAAAAAAAGAAAAAAATTTGGTCACTCAATCCATGACTTTTTGTGGGACGCTGCTGTGCGCAATTCGCTGCCGTGTTTCGCCCACAAAATATACAGTCAATTTACTTTATAGAATATCCTGTGAAGCGCTTTGAGACGTCTCAAAGATGTGATAAAGTGCTGTATCAAATGCAAGGATTATTATTATTATATGAACTCCCAGGTCTCTCTTCCTTCACCACCTTTAAGATTTACTATCCAATTTATATTGCCTCTCCTCTTTCTTCCTCCCAAAAAACATCACTTCGCATTTCTCCACATTAAACTTCATCTGCCAAGTGTCTGTCCATTTTACCAGTCTTTCTATGTCAATTTTGCAGTCTGTTACTATCTTGCTCACTGTTTACTACTTTCCTAGCTTAGTATCATCTGTAAACTTGTACTCCCTATACCCAAGTCCAGGTCATTTATATAGATCAAAAACAACAGTGATCCCAATACTAAACCATGGGGGACACCACTGCACACTTCCCTCCAGTCAGATAAAAAAACGATCACCACCACTCTCTGCTTTCTGTCCCAGCCAGTTCTGTATCCGCTGCCACTTTAATACCGTGGGCTTCTATTTTGCTTACAAGCCTCTTACGTGGCAATTTATCAAACTCCTTTTGAAAATCCATATAAACTACATCAACTGCACTACCTTCATCCTTCATCCACTCTCCCCGTTACTTCATCAAAAAACTTTATCCTAGGTTACTGAGGGAAGTAAGGGTGGAAATAACGGAGGCTTTGTTAGACACGATTTGCCTTTAATAAATCCGTGTTGGCTGTCCTTTATTAACCCACATTTTTCTAAGTGAAAATTTATTTTGCCCCGGATTGCACTCCAGAATGTTACCCACTACTGACGTTAGGCTGACTGGCCTGTAGTTCTCAGGTTTATCCTTCTGCACCTTTTTGTACAGGAGAGTAACATTTGCAACTCTCCAGTCCTCTGGCACCACCCCAGTGTCCAAGTAGGATTGAAAGATTGTGGCCACAGCCTCCGTTATTTCCACCCTTACTTCCCTCAGTAACCTAGGATGCATCCCATCCGGAACGGGTGATTTATTTATCTTGAGCACCGACAACTTTTTCAGTACCTCCTCTTGGTTTATTCTTAGTTTATCCAATTTCTCTACCCTCTCCTACGATATTGTGGCATTGGCTGCATCCTCTTCTTTTGTGAAGACAGATACAAAGTCCTCATTCATTACGTCAGCAATGCCCTCTGCCACCACACGAAGACTTCCTCTTTGGTCCCTAATTGGATCCACCCTACCTTTGACTAACCTTTTATTCTTCACATGCTTATAAAATACCTTAATACCTTAATACCCTTTTATGTTACCCGCTAATCTTCTCTCATACAATCTCTTTGCCCCTCTTATTTACTTTTTCAGTTCTTTTTCCGTTCTCCTCTGTACTTTCTATATTCTATTTGATTATCTTCTGTATTTTGGACCTGACATTTATCATAAGCTTCCTTTTTCTGTTTTTTGTAATCCCAATTTCCTTATTCATCCCTACCTCTGCCATTTGTGGGAATGTATTTGTTCTGTCCCCGAACTATCTCCTCCTTGAAGGCTTCCCATTGCTCGTTAGCTGTTTTACCTGTGAATCTGGCTTTCCAGTTCACCTTGGCTAGGTCCCTTTGTGTGCAACTCATGGAAATTAGCACTCTTCCAGTTGAATATCTTCACCTTTTCTTGCTCCTTGTCCCTTCCTACAAGCACTGTAAACCTAATGATGTTGTGATCATCATTGTCCAGATGCTCTCCTACTGAAACCTGCTCCACTTGCCCCTCTTCATTCCCCAGAACTAGATCCAGCACTGCTTCCTTCCTCGTTGGGCTGGAAACATACTGATCCAGAAAGTTCTCCTGCATACATTTTAGGAATCCTTCCCCCTACTTGCCCTTTACACTGTTATTTTGCCAGTCTATGTTAGGATAATTGAAATCCCTCATTATCATTACTCTACTGGTTTTGCATCTTTCTGAAATCTACTTGCAGATTTGCTCATCTATCTCCCTCCCACTATTTGGTGGTCTATAGTATACACCGAACAAGAGTAACAGCTCCTTTTCTGCTCCTTTACTCTAGCCAAATTGATTCTGTTTTTGGTCCCTCCAGCACTTGTCCCTTTCCAGGCCTGTAAACCGTGTCTTTAATCAACATTGCCACCCTCCACTCCCACTCCCTTTTTTCCTTCTCTATCCCTCCTGAATACTTTGTAGCCAGGAATATTCATCTCGCATTCCTGTTCTTGTTTGACTCAGGTCGCAATTAATTGCCACTACATCATAACGCCATGTAGCAACTTGAGCCGCAGCTCACCAATCTTATTTGTCGCACTCCGTGTATTTACGCACATGCACTCCAAGAGCGACTGAGTCTGTTCTGCATTTTTCCCCATCTAATCCCTCCCTTTTCTGGATTACTCCTTATTACGTTGCTATTCTTCTCTCCCAGCCCTCTATGTAACTTGTTTGTTCTCTCAAATGCTACATCCGGATTTCCTTACCCCTTCAAATATTACATGGCTAATGTCACATCTGTATGAAGCCAAACCCTTAAAAGAATGGTCACCCAAGTAGCTCTCCTTTACTCATTGGCATGGGTAATTGTCAAATGTAACCCTTCTGGAAGAACTCAATCCCAAGAGACCCAAGGTCAAAATATTTCAATGGTTGAAATCTCAGGCTAATCGGTAGCACATTGTATTCAATGATTCAATCTTCAGTGTGTGCTTAGGTTATATGCTGAGCCATGTGTTACTGTGTACTTGCCTGTGGTAACAGGGTCGGCCGTTGCGTCAGTCTGGGAGGAGGAATAAACTGAGGAACCTTGATTGGAGGGGTGTTTGCCATCTGTACCTGCAGTTTTGAAAACAGTATTATTGTATTCACCCTTCTGTGATTAAAAACCCATGGTTTATTGTAAAAAAAATTGCTTTTCTTCTGTAAGTAAGTAGGAAACCAATTGTTAGTCGATTGGAGGAACGCTTTTCCAGGGGATAGTAATCCCTTCAAAAGATAAATGATAATAATTTGGTCACTTAATCCACGTTTTGCCCACAATTCACTTTACAGTATATTCTGTGAACCGCTTTGAGACGTCTCTAAGACGTGACAAGGTGCTATATCAAATGCAAGGATTATTACTGTTGCGTACTGAACTTTTTAAAAGATGCGCGCTGGGAAGTGCTGCACACATGGATGTCAGAGCTTGACTGGCCTGATTTACAGGAATGTGCTGCCAGCTGTTAGCTTGCTTCAGTAATTGAAACGTCTGAATCCTCACATTTTCTTGTCGCAGCAGCACAAGCACATTTATTGGGTGATTAGTTGTAAAATCAGATCCCAGCTACTAAACATCCCCTGGAGACTTAGCAACATGAATAGTTGACAAAATATTGCAATCCTGTTTACATGTTGTTATGAAGATTCATGGAAACTTAAAGCATAATCTACAGTTTCAGATGGTGGTAACATCCTCCTTTTTCTAAACTGAATTAGTTGCCATTAACCCTCATGCTACATGGGTATATTCCCAAATTTGGCTCAATTTCAAGAGTGGTTCACATAGGAATTTTATTAGCATTTTAGTAGTAATCAATGCATTTGTTGACTCATCTACTCAACAACTTTTCTCCCTTCTCCTGTTTCTATGCTGAAAGCAACGATTCACATTGATCTGTAATCGCACACCTACCAGCTGCCTGCTCTAGTCCAAGTTGATGCTCTTCTTATGTGAACCATAGAGGCCGAGCCTGATTCTGCCCTTACCTGATTCCCACATGATGAGCACACTCAGCAGCAATCACTGTATAATGACCAATAACAGTATTCTTTCTTCCCCCCCATCCCCCACTATCAAACACCACTACTAATATCTGCTACCCGAGTTGAGATGACCATAGGACCTTTCGTTTGTGCATGGCTCAGTGCTGCACTATGCTATACACTGAAATTGGTTCCTTAATGTAATATAAATAGAGAGGGGGCAATCTCCCCTTTTGAATCCAATCCTTTCACATACGAGTACTGGTCAGTCTATGATGGGATAAATACCTCCTCTGCTAAATTGGCTAATGGTTCTTTGGTAAAAGCCACTTGCAGTCTCTGGCCTGTGATATGTGGCCTGACATCACCTGGGAGAGCTGAACAGATGCTATAATTTCCTCAGGGTGTCCAGGGGAGAAAAAATCTGGCTTCTGTAGCGTTTGCTGGGATGTGCATTTGTGTGGATGTCAGACAGGATCGACTATAAACCCCTTTGGATGGATCACCTGCTGAAATTCACTATAAAAGCTCATCGTACACAAAAGGATGGCCACTTCAGTCAGCTATCAAAAAGTTTCCATTGCATGTAAAACATAAGTCAAAAGAGGAGAAAATCAAAAGGGAAAAATGCTCCCAAGTGTATTGGATTGAAGTAGTTGTAGTATAGTCCTAGCAAGTGCAAGTTCACAGCATCACTCAACAATTTCAATTTGAAAGTGAAGTCTCAGTTAACAGCTATATCAAACGGAAGGATTATTATTATTGTTATTATTAATAAGGATAGCTGCTGTCAGAAAAGGTCAACACATTGGTATTGGTGGGTGGGAGGAAATTAGATGTTCTAAGGTGGAAATCAAGGCAAATTGAAGGGGCAATGCCCAACTGTTTTAACCCGGGTTATATCTAACCCATTAGTACTTATGGGTATATAAAGTAGATGAAAATGATTGCAGATGTAACATGTTTTCATTCTAATGACTGAGAAATTCATATAAATTGAATTCACAAAATGAGGGTTAAGATTTGTGGGTGGTGGAATTAAAAAAAAAATTCAGGAAACACAGAGAAACTGTGAAGTTTGGCTTACCAGCGGTGGAGTGGATTTTGGCATAATTCGCACAGCGTCAGCCCCCAGAGTGTTTAGTTTGTTGGAAATTTGAAGGTTGATGGGTGTGTTCTGGGAGTCTGCATTTACTCCTGATTTCTGAGGGTTGCTTAGTGCCGTTACCATGGCGATTGTGGATCTCGGTGAAACGACCGAGGCAGGCATAGGGTGAGTTGTTTTTAGCAGAGTAAATGGAAGCTGCTTTGTAGTAACGACAGATGCTTGATTTGTTGTTTTCTGTAAAAAAAAGTTGTAACGAAAAAAAAACATTATTTTTTGACTAAAATCAGGTATTTTAGCCCAATTTATTTACAGGACAGATTTTCAATTCACAAAACCAATTCTGAATAACCATTTGCCTCAAGTGAACTTTTCTATTTTGGATAGATGATGAAAGAAACAACATTATAAATATAAACATAAAAGAAGCAATAAACAGAAGGTCAGATGCACACTGGCTAGGGTACGTACACACTATACAATACGAAAATTTAACATATACCAGGATCGGACTTCATTTGTGTCTTTTGGCTACGTTTTGATATTCAAGAATTTCGGCAGAAAGTCCTAAATATTTTTAAATGGAAACAGTTTGCCGAAGAAGTAAAGAGCATGTCCCTGAATCTTGGCTCGCTCCAATTGTGAAGCATAACACTCATTCCCCCCACAACGTAATGCCTGAGATAATATCTAGCTGTAGATAGAAAGCTAAAGGTAAGCTCTGCATGGCTTTCATGGTAGGATTCAGAGTTGGAGGTTCCCACGGTGTACTTTCCATTGTTGAAGCTTCTGTGTCCTGTTCCCACGAGCAATCAAATTCACTGCAGCAACCCGTCAGTTTAAAACAAACCAGTAAGCTTGGAAGCTGGGTGACCAAAAACTAGAGAGAGAACTACAGCATTGAACAATTCTTAACGTGAGTAGATTTTAAAACTGAAGTGGAAAACTATAGAAATCGATATCAACCGCGTAACAGTGCTGGGAATTCTATGAATCCAAATGAAGCAAAAGTTGTTTCTTACTGTTTGTGGCACAGAAAATATTTGGTGTCTGGAGACAGGATCACTTTCTTTGATTCACATTGCATTTTCAGAATTGAACAGCAAATTATCATTCAATACGCTTCAACAACAACTTACATTTATAGAGCACCTGTTACTTCAGGAGGACATCCTAAGGCGGTGGACTGAACTTTGAATAAATACTGTGCTAATTATGCTAACATATAAACGTCTATTCAGTCCTACAAGTAACTCATGTTGCACCATTTGTAATGATTCAGTTAGGCAATCTCTAAAACAGTTACTTACAGCTACCAAAATAATATCTAATATCCTGTACGATGGTGCAATAATTCAAACAGAACACATTTTGTTTCCTTCCCACACCAACCCTAGTCAAGAGCGCAGAATGGTAATCTGAACCCCATCATATTTTTTAATAATGGTAACAAGTACAAACATACTGTATTATGAACTGATGATCAAGCCACATTGACACAAATGTAATACTAATCTAACATGCAAAGCAACCACACTCCCATCCTTTGAAACTCCCTTTCTCTTCTTTTTTTTTAAACTTTGAATGCTGCCTAAAACCTCTCTTTGACCGCATCTTCAGTCACTTCCTCCCTCACTTGCATCCATCCCTGTGAAATACTCTAAGACCTTATCCTATGTAAAGGGCACAATATAAATGTACACTGTTCTTGTAATACACTGTATGGACACCCACAGGCAGCAAACAATACAGTAACTATTGGTAAATCAGATATTTTCATACCAAAGCTCTGACATTTATTTTGCCATGAGGTATGTCTTGCATCAGAATTTGTTTGAGGATGTTCTGTTGTGGATGCAACTTACTTAATGAAATGTTGAGGATCCAGGTTCTTCCCTTTACAACAAACATCAGTAGATCTGCAAAAGCAGTTGGTTAAACCTTGATGTTTGCAGCATAAAAGCAACATGCAGGGCTGAAGAGCCAGTTGACTGTTGCTGAGAACTATCTGAACACCCCTGATAAAGTTTGCACCAGTGAGCTTTGCTGAATAAGCAACAGAAACCATACAAATGGTGGCACGGTCACACACAATATTCAAATGCTGGTCACTAAACGCAGTTAAACTGAAATTCGACACTTCACAAAGCATCGAATAGCAGGAACTTTAGTCTCCTGTTTCCGAAAGGCAACACAGTGAATGTTCCACACTGCATCGCTATTGATTTTTTCTCTTACAAAAAGGCTCTTTTTTCTTTCATGCCCATACACATTAGCTGAGTAAATGGAAATACTGAATATTAATTATTCGCATTCAACCACGATAACATTCCTATGCTCTTCTCTAAACTTTGCTGATCTAAGTGACTTTACAGTATATCATGTGACAGGAACATCAGTGTCCAATTACAAAAATTCCACACTGCATCACCATTGATTTTCTCACAGCGTGGCTCTTTGCCTTAAAAACTGCCCTTAATAATAATTCTTTCATTTGTTATAGTGCCTTTCACATCAGGAGGACGTCTCAAAGCGCTTCGCAGAATTTACTGTAAAGTGTAGTGACTGCATATTTTGTAGGCGATTGGGGCAGCCAATTTGCACACAGCAACATCCGACAAACTGCCATAAAGCGAATGACTAATTTTATCTGGGACATTGTTGGCCAGGACTTAGGAGAAAACCCCTTGTGACAAAAATTTCACGTCCTCCTCTTATTTTCACACAGGTCTGGTGATGTCACCAGCTTCCGAGTGAAACAGAGGAGGGAACAAAAAGCAAAATACTGCAGGTGCTGGAAATCTGAAATAAAAACAGAAGTGGCTGGGAACACGCAGCAGATCAGGCAACATCTATAGAGAGAGGGAAAATGAGTTAACGTTTCAGGTCTATGACCTTTTGTCAGACGAATGGTCATAGACCTGAAACGTTAACTCATTTTCCCTCTCCATAGATGCTGTCTAACCTGCTGGTGTTCCCAGAGGAGGAAACAAATAGGCGCAGTCTCTTCTAAAAGCAGTGACTCCATCCATAGCTTCCTATAAATGATTCCAATTCACCACAATTTAATAAACTGATACCTGATCATAACTAGGTTGCTCCTACTCTCCCCACCGCTCAATTTTAGGATTGATGTACAGGGAAATGGTGAAGGGATAAAGATGAGAAAGGAAAAGCAAATACGTAAAAAAAGACGTTTTTCTATTCAATTCTTTCAAACAGTTCGATTCAACGAAACGCCGCAGCGAATTGCACAGAGCAGTGTCCCACAAACAGTAGTGGATTATTGTTTTTTTTCTTGAGTGATTAACTTCAGGCGTGTGGAGTAAGGAAACTTGCCCAAGATTTCGCCCTGCCGGGAATCAAACCCAGGTCTCTCGCTTGCGAGGCGAGTGCTCTAATCACTGAGCTACAGGAATCCTAAAAGACTCTACCCTAGTATAACCTTGATTCACACTGGGCTGAAATTTATATTCACAAAAAAAAGGAAACCTTTATCTGGACTGCAGTATAATTAGACAATGTTATATATGCTGTGACATGATCACCCTAATTTTACCACGTTCCCTATGCAACAGACATTAACATGGGTTTCATTTGCTACCAACACAGGTGAATTTCCTGTTAAATTGAAGTGTGGTAACTTATAGTAACTGTACTTAATAAAAGTATCTAGTGCTGATGAATGATGGATGCTTAACATTAACAGAAATGTATTCTCAGTTAAAGGTTTACTTCTGATATTATTTCAAATTCGATGCCGAGAAATTATTTCTCAAACCAACATGTCTCCCAAATCTGAATCTGTTTTAGCCACATCTCACTTCTTTATATTTTGTATATCGAGTTTAGATTTACAACAACAATAAAATTTGTATGACTCCTTTCATGTTGGGAGGGTGTCCCAAGGTGATGGGACAGTCAGTGTTTCGGATCCGAGCTAGGGATCGGGGAAGGTGAAGCAAGACATAAGTGGTTTGTGTAAGTTGTCTGAATCCAAATATAACTTTCCAGATTTACTAGTTAAGTAATCAACCGAAAACATTATTAGCAATTGCATTGATTCCGTTCCCTTCCCTTCATTACAAATGTTTCTGTTGCACTAAAAGACTAAATACGTTCACACAATTTGTTTCTTCTATCACATTCAAACAATCAATGACCAAATGAAAGCCAGAACTCCAAAAGAAATGGCAGAAAATATTTACTTATAGATTTACAGCATAGAAACCAGCCATTCGGTCCAACCAGTCCATGCTAGTGTTCATACCCCAACGCGAGTTTCCACCCTCCTTACTCCCTCCCATACCCTTCTACTTCATGTATAATAATAATCCTTGCATTTGATGTAACACCTTTGCACGTTGCCAAGATGTCCCAAAGGGCTTCACAAAATATATTGTAGTGAATTGACTGTAAAATTTTGTAGGCAAAATGCGTATATCTATTTAATGACAATTCCTTGAGATCATAACTGGCTTGTAATAACCAAGTAGTTTTAACTTAATATGGTGCTCACTTCATCAGTAGCTGAGTACTAATGGCTGTTTGAACAACTACCATATGGAGCATTTGATTTGTTTTAAAAAAAGGTTTTAGAGGAGCATGACCAATTCCTGCAATATGGTATGTCATTTTGTCAAACAAGAGAGACTGGGAAGCGGACAAGATTTGCTCTTCACCCTTGCCCTTCAATTGTTCAACCTTCCTAGCAAGACAGCATGCACACAAGTCCTTTGTAGCACAAATTAATTCCACCATTAGTAAATACCCCTTTGTAAAAAGATGTCAAACCTGAACCCTTGCCCATCCCTGTTGCTCATTTCTTAGGCTAATCACTGGATTAGAGAAAAACATTTTTGGCGGTGGGAGGGAAAGAAGGGGGATGTTAATAAGTAATGCAAAATCTTTGCTTACTTCAACAGCCTATATAAGAATCAATAAGGATTGATGCAGGGTAGGGTCTGATGGCTTAGCCACAAAACCCAGAATAGTTTTCCATTTTCTTGCTGTCCCAGAACTGAGCTTTCATCGTTCCTTCCTCCCAGTCAGAGTTGTGTGAAGATACAAATACTGTACAAGGGTCACAGTCCATGAATAATAAAATTCTGTTTAGTAAATCCAGTTTGCCAGATCATTTAGGTTGTGCATCACAACCTTTTTCTCGGTGATAAATGAACCATGGAAGAAACAATCCAGAGTTTTTTTGTACACGACTAAACCACCATGCATTCATT